GAGAACGAGGGACAGGAAAGGAAGAAAATACATCCCAAGAGCTGTGGTGGAGAACTGGGGGGAAGAAAATACATTTGGGGGGCCATAGTGAAGAGTGGAGGAGGGAAGAAAAATGGTTAAAGGCAATGAGCAGGGCAAAGTTGCTTTCCTGCAATCATCAGAAAGTAAGTTCATACAAACAAGAAGCAACAAGGTCCTTTCATGCAACTGAGGCCAAACATGACCTAGCATGTGGCAGAGGCTTAAGAATTCAAGGAAAAATAACAAATCACACTAATAAAAAAGCTATACTAAAAGATTGAGTGCCATCTTTGGTCTTTACAGAAGAGGTCTGTGAAAATAAATTTTCTTAAGGAGACTTTTGGGAGCTAAGAAACAGGGAGAGTGGAAATCTGAGGATGAACATGCACAGATCAGGCTGCAGATGTTGAGACTTTGGGTCCTCAGTTTCTCTGCTTTAAAAACACCCTGAGCCCCACGGATGGGACTCTGAGATAGTGTGATGTAATTATAGGCAAATTTGAAGTTCAAAAGCAATACAAAGGAATTTTGATGAATTTCTGATGAGAAGATATGTATTTTTAGAGTAGACTACTTTCAGGCTGAAGCGGAATGGATTGCCAAAGGACAATGGTTCAGGAAAAGTTGTGACCCTGATTCACCCATCCCTCCCACCATATCTACAGGTATAGACTTTGCATTGAAACATGCATGCACAAGGAAGTGGGGGGGGGGGACATGGACTAGAGAGTCGATGTGAAACAGGAAAGAGAAACTCAGAGGCAGGGGAACCTTCTGGATCTTCCTAATGGTGACTGCATATCCATACAGTGGGCCTGACCATGAGCAGAGATTGAATGTAAATCACAGACAAGAAAGGAGCCTGTTAGAGTCCTTGCTATCCTGCTACTGGGAGAAAGTCTTACCCCAGGTCATAGCAAGGGAATTTGCTGCCAGCATGCTGGGGAGGGGCCAGGGAAGAAGCAGGTTCTTCCAACTGGAGGTGTTAAAATAGAAGTCAATGTTGACTTGGAGGTGGGGTGTTTGTGTGGTCAGAAGAGGAGGAGGGAAATCAGCTACATTTGCCACTCCCAGAAAAAGCAACAAAAGCAGAAACCGGCTGAGACAGAAGTCAGTCTCTCTTCTGAATTAAAGGAGATTTCAATAGCACTGTGCAGCAGGAAACTAAGGCTGGCTTCAGCCCTCAGCGGCATCTCTCTCCAACTTCATGGAGCTTGAACACACTGTCCGTCTAGGCTCTTCTTGAGAGGGAATGTGTGACTGCTGATCTCTTTGGGAATCTTGGGAAGTGAGTGAAAGAATACAGGGTTGGGGATCTGAATGGATGTGTGTCCTTGTCATCAACACGGCTGAGTCATAAAAAGATCTGTAGAGCAGGCCTGGCATGGTCCCTAGTGGAGGACAACCTGGGGCACTCAGATGACAGGCACAAAGCTGTCCCTGCAGCTGTAAAGCGAAACCTATGGCGTTGTTTTGATGCTGCTTTGGAGTACGTCTGTTGAGTCCCACATCCTGCTAACCAGGGGCCCTCAGCAACTACATGAACTATGAAGACCATAGCGGGTGGTTTAATTTCTATTACTATTACTGAAAGCTTTTATGGGAACTGGAAGAGGCAGAAAGAATTAGGACAATCAGATCTGGGTGGATATTTCTGGATGAGACACTTGAGAGGAAAGGGTGGTAACTGGGGTTACACAGTGCTAACACCTGGAGTAATTTTTCTGTTTTAATACAATGAATGAGCCCATCCTAGCAGGGTTGTGTATAGAGTTTTCAGGGAAGGAAGGGAGGAGCTTGTGGAGCTATGAATGCCTGTATCAGTAGGCTGGATTGATTCTCCGACCTTTCATTAATTGTCACAGGTGCACTGGGAGGAGACATGGCTTTGATGGTGGGAGTTTCTAGTGACTGTCCCACTTCCATGGATTAGTCTGTAGTCAGTCTCTAGGCAAGTCCGCAAGCACCTCAAAAAGACATTTTTCATGTTGTTCTTGTCCCAACCCATCCCAAATGTGTCCTGCCTCATGAAACATCTTGATATGGCCTGACCATCCATGGATTTGCTCATAGGATTTCTACCCACTTTCTCCATGCTTCCTTACATTACCAAGCTTTGAGAGTTGTTGTGAAGTCATATGAGAGCTTTAGGTCAGGGACTGAATCACTGATCTACTGTTGTTTATCCATAAAATGTAGATATTGATTCCTCTTGGGAATATTATGAGAACTCAGTGTAAATGTCCTACTGATTTATTTCTCTCCATCTTTTTACACATGCATCTATCCTCACCTGTCATGTGCAATGTCCCCAGAACCCAGACATCTCAGAGTTCTGCACCCAGGGGTCTGAAGGAAAGCGATAGGTTGTGATAGAGTGTGCAGAGACTTGGGATAGGGACCTCTGTGTAGAGTAACAGTCCCTAATCAGTGGTATTCCACTGTGGTTAAGGGAATATAACCACCTCTTCTGTGTTTGTAACAAGAGTCTAAATTTTATGTGGTGTATCACCATTGTTACCTTTGAGAAAGAAGTAATATTTGTAAACATTGTGCCCATCAAATAATGTCTGTTTCTTCTCCTCTCTCAACCCTTTAGAGAAGCCTTTCTTAATGTCTCAGAAAAGGTTGTCTCCTTACAAGTTCTCTTGGCAGCTGAACCCAGCAGCATTTATCGGGGCAGGTAGAGTTACTTCCCTTGCATACTCAGCTTGTGCTGTGTTTTCTTCTAGAGCTGAAGCTTTCTAAACAGTTGGAAACCTCTCTGTCTCTGGATCTTCCTCCTTCCCCTGGCAATATCCATACCTGTCTGTTTCTAAGTATTTGCTCAGTGGCAGCCTCAGTCACCCTTGGTTTCCAAAGACCAAGACTGAGGTCTTTTTATGTTGACTTCATTCTGTTTTCACAGACTATACAGGGAGTAGTGGGGTGCCCATTTCTTTATCTCCCAGGAAAACAAGCTGGTCAACTAGATGGTCCTGTCTTGTGGGGTCCTGTGAACCAGAAATGAGCGGTGGGAATGGTGTCTGTGAGGGCTTGGATGGGACATGAAATCAGGCCAGGGCCATACAGCCTTCCAGAAACAGAACCCAGTACCCTCCACACTAAACTGAATTCAGCAGGCAGTGTAGGTCTAGAGACAGCATGGATGGGAGGAAGAAAGCAACAGCATTGACAATGACAACAAATGCATAAGACAGGGTACAGTATCTAGCTAGACCTAACTGTTTTATAGTGTATGTATTCCCTCAAACAGCATTTGGTGTGCTACAAACCCATGATTTTTACCTACAGTCTACACTACGACTGTATCCAAACAAAGCAAAACAAGAACTCTCAGAATTTACACCTCAGATCTTAAGCCAAACACATACAAGATCCACCTGCAGCCTGGCTCTAGAGACTCCCAGGAGCCTGCATGTTAATGCAAAGACACCTGGTGAGTTTCTTTTCCCATCCATAGCATAAAGGCCAGACCAGCATATCAATCCCAGAGGAAAATACCTTTACTAAGCAGCATCTTTTTGTGGTCAAATAGAACCTTGCAGTAGAGCAGGTATTCCTCAATAGTCCCCCTTGGCCCTGGGGACCCTCGGAGTGACCTGAGCACCACCATATTGGCTTTGAGGGTGAGATAGGCTCTGAGTTTTGTTATTTCCAGAGAAGTGGCTGGAAAATTCTTGTACCAGCAGATTATACACCGAGGATATTTGTATCCTAAAAGAATGCAGAAAAGTGGTTCTACCTAGGAATTTCTAGAAAGACCTGGTAAGTGTTCCTGGATCCATTCTTATAATGGAGGATCAGGAAGTATGACTGAGCCTGTCCACCCAGGTGAGGTCATTTTTCTGTGGTTTGAATGAATTGCATAGCATCGCATTTAGCATACTAGACCATTATAAAAAGTCTTCATTCTGAAAAACGTGCTCTTAAATTTTCTTGAATTTGGGCCACAAGAAGGAAGTTTCTCCTTCTTACTCAGTGAAAGCATTCCCACCCCACCCCCGATGCATGCCGAGACAGGTGTATCAAATAGCATGCCCTGTGCAGTCGGCATGCGCTGGCATTTTCTAGACCCTAAAAATGTGCAATTTATTAAATGCATTTCTTTACCTCTCTAATGGACCATGACCTACCTCACTATGAAAAACAGTATGTAGAGAAGGCGCCTAGATCCAGATTTTGCATAGAAAAACTGGGACATATCTCTTTTGAAACACCCCCCCCCCAGAAGCTAGCATGGTAGCCCCACGAAAAACAAAGCAGGATTTTCCAGAGAATCTCACAACTAAGATTCCTTCCCTAAGACCCTCCTGATACAAATATGTATATAAAGATCAGAAATACATGACTTTGTCAGTTATTACCCTGAGAGATGGCCTTGGGGAAAACACGTCCTTCATCATTACTTCGGGGTCCTCCTGTCTCCAATGCCAGGGACAGGCAGCTTTGGCCTGGATAGTGTGGGCATCCTCTAGACACATGTGAAGCCCTTCGATTTGACTGGTAAAATCTCCTTGCCAGAACAGCGTGGCTACCAAGGAATGTGAAAGGCCATCTCTTGACTCCTCACCTGGTGTTTCCAGGCATTTACAACTGGCTGAGCTGGCCTGGCAAAGGGGCAGTGGCACTTTGCCTGTAGCAGGATACTCAGGGATGCTCCGCCCAGGGACCCAGTTGAGGCTAGTGTGTCTCCCTGGATCAAAAGGCTGTAAAGGATCTTCCCACAGGCAAAGCAGACTCCCACACAAGACCTATCCCAGATTCTAGGGACAAACATCATGACTTGGAGACCCCTACTACTCACTCCTAATCCTTAACAGGTTCATTTTGCTGCGGCCCAGCAGTTAACCACAGGCTACTCAGGATGCTCTCCTGTTGCTAGACTCACAAAACCAGGAGGTAGCGATGACCTGTTCCCCCTTAGCCCCTGTGTCTCCAGTCCCAGCCAGAGCCATTTGCAAGTTTCCAAAGCTTACCTGGCTCCATCTGGGAGAAGAGGAAAAATAACATCATCAGGAGAAAGTAATGAGTTTTCATGGCGGCGGCAGCCAGAGTTCAGAGGGCAGAGAGGACGAGAGAGTCCCAGGTAGCTGAGCTGACAGATGCTTCCGGAAGCCTGAATGAGCTTGTTTTTTATGGGAACACTGGTTGCATAACCTCATAAATGAGCTGCAGGGAGGCGTTGCCAACCACAGTGAAGGAATAATGACATCTCATGTTATTCGCCCTGAGAAGAGTCCACGTCCTGTGGGCACATTACCTCTCCCCAGCTCTAGCTAAATTTTATTTTTCAGCCTGGATAATAGAAATATGCATCTTTTGTCTCTAGCCAGCTAGTGTTTCAAATTTGGCACTTCTTCCTGAGATTTTTTTTCCAACTCTGGCTCTCCAGACAGCATCTGAGCTAAGTCCAGGGAGGTACAACTGTCCCACCCTGGTATATGGCCTTAGATAGGCTCTAAGTAGTCAGTTATTGTATCATTTTAAAATATCTTATTTTACATAGAATTTCCAGTGCAAATCTATGGGCAGATTTCCTAGAACATTATGAAGGATTTTATTTAGGAGCATGGTTCTGTACATGGTTCTGCCCAACATGTAAGAACAGAGTTTCTTAAAGGGACACTGAGAAGCTCATAGAGCCATTTCTGGGGATGCAGGACTACTCTGTGGATGAGCTGCCAGGAATAAGGTCCAGTTTGTGCCACTTGACCTGACAAGTATCCTAGGCTAGAGTCCCTTGCAGGAGACACTAGCACAGACTTTACAGAAACTATAGCCACCACCAACAGAACACCTTTCTATACTAAGACATGTACCTTCCAGAAACAAGCACACATACAAACACCACAGAAATATACATACATACATACATACATACAAGACACTCACACAAGCACACACACAAAGGCATAGACACAATCACAAGCATGCACATATTCATACAACCATCTATTTATCTATCCATATATGTACATATATATGTATCCATATATGTACATATATATATATATATATATGAAAGAGAGAGTACACACACACACATACACATATACACATGGGGAGACAGAGAAAAAAGAATCAGAAGAGTACCAGAGATGAAGAGAGATTGAGAATGGCAGAGACAGACAGACAGACACAGAGAGGGAAAATTCAGAGACAGAGGAAAAGAGAAATTCAGAGAAACAATAGACAAAGTGAGAAAGATTTACATTTACAAGCTCACTGACTCCAGACTGTCAACTGGTGAACCTGCATAGGACCTAACTAGGCCCCCTATAGTAGTGTGGTTTGGGCAGTGTGTAGGGCCACTGAGAGTGGGACCAGGATCTAACCCTAATGCATGAACTGACTATGGAGAGATACCTTTCTTAGCCTAGGCATAGTGGGTGGAGGGACTTGGTCCTGCCTCAAGGATGCCATAGGACAGACTTAGTTGACTTCCCAGGGAAAGGCCTTACTCTCTCTGAGGAGCAGAGTGGATGGGGGTGAAGTGGGGGGAAGGTTGGGGGAGCAGAAGGAGAGGAGGGAGGGGGAACTGAGTTTGTTACGTAAAAAGAGAGAGCAAGAGAGAGAGAGAGAGAGAGAGAGAGAGAGAAAATGGGGAAAGAAAAGGAATTTTCCCTATAGAAGAAAGGGAAATGCAAAAAGAAAGCAAACCAAAAAAAAAAAAAGACTCCAACAAACAAACAAAACTACTGAGTACATGTTCTAGTGGGATCCAGGCCTCATTCACATACACAGATACATTTACTTGATTCTTGTGTGAGGCAGGAAGTCTTCAGTGTTTTGGAGTATGGTGAGAGAAGAGTTTCTTTTTAAAGTTTTGCTAAGGGTATAGATGCAGCAACATGACTGAGGATGACTCTAATGGTGCCATCCAGTTGGAAATGAAGGCCCAGGAGGTCCAGAGTCCAAAGTTTGGCTTGTACTTGCTTTGTAAGTCGGGTCTCTGCCGGCTAGTTTCCAGGGGTGCCCCTTCAGGAACTTTGAGGGTTGGAGAACAGGGCATTACCATACAGTAGAAAGGAAACATGGCTTCTGGCTCCTTCTTGTTCTTGTGTGGGAATCCCAATCCCACCAGGAAGAAGTTGACTTAGAGACACCACTCTCTGGGTGCTAATACCACGTGTCTTTATGGACTGCTGAGTGACTTCAGAGAAGTAGATATGACACCGTGGGCTCGTGTCTCTCCGTAGGTGAAACAAGATTGTGAGTTTCAAACAAAACATCTCAACATTCTATGGCCAGGTGTCACGTAATCTCAGTTTAACTAGGAATTCTGGGAATGAGCTGAATCAAAAGAATAACTCTAATTTTCAGAAGTGACATTTTCTACTCCAAACCCTGAAGACACTGTGTTTTTAAGGCTGTGTTGACTGAATATCAACTGTCCTGTGATTAATTTTCTAGCTTGTTTCTCAGAAGGAAGCTTCATTCCAGTGTGGGACCCTCTCAGTTTCCCCACGCCTCTCAGCAGGGCTTGTGGGGAAGAGTGTGGTCTTTGCTTGGTCCCTCCCTAAGACTGAGGATCTGGGACTACCCTGATGGCTAGGTGCAGAGGTGGGAGACCTACATCAGCAATGTGTTTCTGGGAGATCCATACAGAACCTGAGGCAGCGTCTGCTTCAGCAGAAAGCGTCATAGTGGTTGCAGATGAGGTAGGGTCCTGGCCCTTCTCCAGCAGAGATCACAAAATCATGGCTGCTGCTTTCAGAAGTCCCCTGTCAGGGAAGGTAGTAAAGGGGACATTCATCATGTCCCCGAAGAATCCTCCCATTTGTTACAATGCTTCTGATCTGGAAGCCTCTCTCCCTGGCATATAAACATACTCCAAAAGGATAGTCTCAGAATTCAGAACTGCTCTAGAGCCTGACCTCGCAGGTGGGGCCAAGGATAGATCCCTGTTTGTCTGATAGTTTAGATAGCAACAGTACACAATTCTGCTCAGAATCACCACGTACTGATGGTTGGAATCATAGCCTCATAGTATCTAACCTTGAAGACCCTTAATCAACAGCTATTTCAGGAAGGTCCTGTTTCCTGTAGGGACCTAGAGGTCCAAGGAGCAAGCAGGGCTGCCACCTTGCCCCATCATGACCCTGAGCAGCTGTGATACATTTATGCCGTTTGCCAGGCTTCATGGATGAGCTTTCCTGGTAGTGAGGAAAGGAAAGAGAAAGTGAATCTAGTTCCAGAGGATCAGAAGCTTTGTGGGTACAGAAATGAACTGCAGAACGAGGAGACTGGTTTATGGTCACCTAGAGCACTGAAGGGGTTGGGGAAGGTCTCACTGAGCTTTCCAGATAAACAGTCCATGACTCACCTATTCTAGCCCGAGGACTGGGCCCCTCCACCTGGGCTAAGGATGGATGATGTCCTTCAGAAAGTCCCGAGGCTACTCCTCACTGTTAACCTTGACTGTAGTTTCTCAGGGTCATGTATTTTGAGCAAATGTATGGCTCTCCAGGGCCCTTGACTTGTTAAGATCTGCATTTGTCTCCCATCACTGAAACTATCTTAAGGCTGTGATTAAAGTATTCTTTAGGTATATGCCCCTATTATCTGTATCTATAGCCATGATGACCTTTTTAATGTGTGGACTGAGAACGTTTAGTCTGTCAGGCTGCCTGAACCTTTGGGGTGTTTTTTGGTGTTAATGTTATTGAAAACAAAATTATTTGGAAACATTTTAGAAATTCGAATTCATTCAGCTTATTTGGAGTGTGAAGGAGGAAGCTTCATTTCCAAGCTTCATTGTAAGCCCTCAATGAAGAAGCAAATCCACATTGCCAACCCTGGCAGAGTCCTCCCAAACCTGTTGCAATTTCTTCTTCTCCGCTGATGTTTTTGTTGATTGAATTTACAGAAATGGGAAGGGAAGGAACCGGGAGTCTATAGTAGCTATAGCTATCAGCACAGGGAAAACTGCTGAGCTGGAGGAGAAGTAGGAGGAGGGAGGGGACAGGGATGAGGAGGGCAAAAAAGGAAGCAGGGAGAGGGAGGAAGAGGCAGAGGGGGAGAGGGAAGGGGAAAAGGAAGGAGGAAGTGGGGAGAGAGGCAGTGGCCTGCTGAGAAGCCCAGGTTGAAGATTAGAAGGCCACCTCTGAGGCAGGGCTTAGACAGAACTGGATGAACAGGATCCTAGACAAGCCATGGGTCACCTGTCATCCTCAGGTTCAATTTCAGGACTTCGACAGTATTTTCAGAACCAGTGTTCAGGCCAGCAGCCCTTCCTGAAGTATCCTCTAGAGGGTTGCCGGCAGCACCTGCCTTTTTGACCCATTCCCAAAATGACTACATTGTTGCTTTGGGGTGTACATCTTATAATGTGTCCTGAAGGAAAACATTTTTTTCAATTTTTACATTTTTAAAGCTAAAGTAGATCTGACAATCTTCTAACCGCTGTGATCCAGGCCCCTCCATTGGTCCCTTTTTAACTGAAAGAAACACTTCATCTTGGTTTCCACTTTATAGCAATTTAGAAAGCAGGATGTGTCTTCATGGGAGAGGCAGGCTCCACTAGGCAAAGCTTATATATTTTCCCTTGATTTCTTTATTCAACTAATATCACCAGTGGGCACCTTCTTTATGAAAGCCTGGCCTGGATCTAAGGGATGTGAAGAGGAAGACGGTCCTAGTCCCTGTCCTCAAGAGTTCAGAGACTTGGGGCATCAGTTAAGTGAGTAGCTAGTCAAGTCAGGAGTTGGGCCAAGTGTTGGCTTTATGTGAGGGACCTAGAGGAGAACAATTTGTTCCTGTGGAAACTGAGCAAAGCACTGAGGAAGAGGTCTCAATACCTAAGAGAGCAGAGGGTCCCCGGATGTGAGGCACCCAAGTGCCATGCATGTCTTCAGAGCCTGCGAAGACAAAGGGGCCCACTGTAGACACAGCACGACTCTGAGCTCCTGTACCACCACTGTAGACACAGCACAACTCTGAGCTCCTGTGTAGACACAGCATGACTCTGAGTTCCTGTACCACCACTGTAGACACAGCACGACTCTGAGCTCCTGTACCACCAGT